TGTGCCATGCTTCAGCTCCCTCCTGCTGACACAGAGGATTTGCAGGATAGCAAACTAGAAGACCAGAGTGATTAGAAGTCTCAAGATTCAGTCATCTAGGAGACATCCCGTCCCTCCTCCCCCCCCCGCTTAAACTGACCCACTCTTCCTCTAAGCAGAGGGGGAGAATCTTCACCAAGGAAACACGGACTGGATCGACTGAATGTCTACTTCTTTGCTCTCTCCTCCTGCTCCTTTCCCAAGAAACTTCCAAAGAAAGGCCGCTTCTACCCATCTAAGATCTTCCTGTCCCTCTCATCAAATGTCTCTAAGAATCTGTTCTTGGTCCCCTCTGCCCCTGGCAAAAAAATAGAAATAAAAATCTAGTGCTTTTCACTGTTTCCTTTCTCAGATAGGGACATCTTGGAGGGAGAGAATTGAATGTAATCTGATCTCATCTATGCTCAAGGCTCCAGAGAATCCTAAAATAGTGTCCTAAGAAAAATAAAGGTACTTAAAATCTAATTTCACCAAGACCTTGAAGATCTTCCATATCAAGCAGAAGATACCAGGTGATTCAGTAGAATCTCCCATTTGTCCTTCAGGCATGCATCAAACAAGTCATTGTCTGTATGAAATTTTAGTTTGTACTGACTTCGCTTTTTATGTAGGCAAATATCTAGATGAGCTGATATACCCCCGGGCACCTTCCAGGGGTAGGCGTACCCCTGGTGAGAACCACTGATGTAGAATATGGGGACTTCTTGCAGAAGAACTGCCACTGGCCCTTCATCTGAGGCATCTGTTCGCAATATAAACCTATTTGAAAAGTTTGGATTAAAAAGAATTAGTTCCTGATGCGCACACTCCTTTAGAGTCTTTCAAGTCATTGTCACTGGCCTCAGATCACTGGACCCTTTTTGAACATCCATTCTTTACCATATCTATGAAGGGAACTGCAATGGTGGCAAATCATGGCACTAAACGTCAATAATACTGTGCCAGTCCCAAGAAATGTTGTATTTGTTGTTTGTGAGGATGGGACAGACCATTAAGGCTTGGAGCTTGTTGACTAGTTCTCATAGTTAAGACTACATTTTAGTCACAGGTATTTTTAGTAAAAATCATGGACAGGTCATGGGCCATAAACAAAAATTCACGGGCCTGTGACCTGTCCATGACTTTTACTAAAAATACCTGCCGTGACTAAAACTTGGGCAGGGGGCCCCGGGTGCTCTGGGGGCAGTGGTCCAGGGGGGCCCCGGGTGCTCTGGGGGCAGTGGTCCAGGGGCGCCTCGGGTGCTGGGGGAGGTGGCCCGGGACCCCCACTGGTGCTGGGAAGGGGGAGGGCTGGGCCACGGCACCCCCACTGGTGCTTGGGCAGGGGGTAGGGGCAGGTTGCGGCGTGCGGCCCGGGACCCTTGCTGGTGCTGGGGGAGGAGGTTTGGCGGGGCCAGCAGTGGGTTCCTGACTGGCTCTGAGGCCCTGCAGCTCCTAGGCGGCAAAGGCAGGGGCCAGGACAGGGGCGCCACTGCTCCCACCACAAGCGCTGGCTGCTGCAGCCCCCATTGGCCGGGAACCACAGTCAGTGGGAGCTGTGGGAGTGGGGCCTGCGGGTGTGGATAGCACGTGGTGCGGAGACCCCTCTGCCGCTCCACGTCCTAGGAGCTGCGGGGGAGTCATGCCAGTGGGGAGTGAGGGAGCCGCCCACCCCAAGATAAGTGCCCCCCACACTCCCCAACCCCCTGCCCCTAGTCCTGAGCCCCCTCCCACTCACCCAAACTGTTGCTGCTGGCCCAACCCGGGCAGCCCCTGAGCCAGCACCAGCCACTGTAGAAGTCATGGAGGTCACGGAAAGTCACGGAATCCGTAACTTCCGTGATCTCTGTGACAGACTTGCAGCCTTACTCATAGTCAGCCCTCTCCCAGATCAGATCAGATCCATTGTATATATTGGTGGCAGCCATATCAAGGAAAAACAAATTTCTCACACTTGCTGTGCTTGCCACAATGTGGCAATATGCACCCACTAAGAACATACAAATAGGCAAAAAAAGGGGAAGGGGGGGCTTTGGCAAAATGGCTGCTTAGTTAGACTAGAGCTGGCTGGCAAAAAGGCTTCTCTCTAGTTCTGGAAGGTTTTACCTGGGAAAAGATTGCCTGCCTGCCAGCCGGCCTTCTTAAGAGGAGGCATTGGGTGTGAAAAATCATAGCACTCGATTGGCTAACACCTGCTAACAGATAAGAGTATAACCACCTGAATTGTAATTTTTCCAGAACACCAGGTCTAATGCCTCTGCTCTTGTGAAAAGTTGGCCTTGAATCTTTTAATCACTACATATCTTTTCCTTTGAAAGGTGGCATCTTTCTCACTATTCTGGGGCATAGTTTAATACTGATTCAGGGAAAAGTGCTGTCTACTGAATTAGCAATACTGTTTGCTGTATTAGGTCTTCCATACACCTACTAGTCAGACCTTACCTGATTTAGTTTGAGAACAGAGAAGACTACCTAACAGTTGTATGCTTTTGATATGAGGCATGTTGACATATTTAAAGTTTTCGTTCAGAATTCTTTCAGGAGGAAACTTACTCCCATGCATTTCAAGATGCTTTCTGTTAGGCATTATAATGGACTTTAGTTAATATAAAAGCAGGTTTTCTTAATTGAAATGGTGATGAAAATCAAGGGATAGTAGTCTTAATCAAACAGGATTAATATTGCTATAGAAATTCTTGGGGCAGATTCTCCTTTCAGTGCATATAGCTCATTAATGCTAATCTTTTGATGTGCCCATAACTCAGAAGAGTATAAATTGTCCCTTTGTTTTCCATCATTTGTAAGAATAACCAGCAAGAGGCTGTAAATAAAGCATTCTGATGAACTGCCAGAATCTGCTTTGATTCGTCAAAGGCTAGAAATTTTCTTTTGAAAATTGATAATCGGTTCCTCAGAGTATTAGATTAATAACTGGAACAAAGACTGATTTTGAGCTTTGATTTATAAATTCAAAGGCTCACTTTTTTCAGAATGGGTACATATTACAGAAGACTAGGTTGTATAATATGGCAGGGTTAGAATGTTGGTGACCTTTACCTTATAGAAGGTCAGGATTTGATTTAAATGACTTGTAACTTTAAGTTATTTATGCAACATTATTTAAATCAGACTTAAGAGATTGCTAATAGAAATTTGTCTTTTGTAAAATTTAGACCTGATTCATGAGACCATCTCAATTCAAGAAAGCACTTAAGCATGCAAGTTGGGGACTTAATAGATGCTATAAATTACGGTTTTAATGTAATTTATTTCCAAAAGAAATAATCTGACTTTGAGTTGTCTATTTCTAGAAAACTTGTTTCTGTAAATATTTTCCCTAAAACTAGTAATTTTTCAGGTATGCATGGATCCCACTGTAGTTGTGCAAGCGCTACATAGTTGTAAGCTTGGAATCTTTTGACTAGCAGTGTCTGGTGGGATTGTGTGTATGCCCTGTGCCTCTTTGTGCACCCATACAAGGGAATAAAGGACAGAGTGGCCTGGCCCCTCCCTCAGCTCCCTCTTCTGCCCATGGTAGTGAGACAGAACCTGGCCTGTGACTCAACCCACTTTTGATTTCTGTAACTCTTCTCTGGTGAAGAAATGTCATCTCGGTTCTCCCTTTAATTAATTTCATTTAAGTTTTGTTGGTCTTTCTCCCCCCCACCCCCATTCCCTCACCCCCGCCAAAAAAAAAATGAAGTAGTGGAGGCAGATTGGGGACACCTTCCTGGACATCCCCCTGTACAGCAAGGTGAAATGCTTGGTGGCAACCACTAGCTATGGTGTATTCAAAACTCACTGGGTTCAAACCCTGTCTTTCCTTCAGTGTACTAATGCTTGTGGCAGACTAACAGAGCAGATGCCTGTTCTATCTTGGGGAAGCAAGCACACATCCCCAATAAGTATGCTATCTGCTGCTCTTTTTGTCCCAGACCCAGAAATCCTGGGATGTCAAGTTCAAACTACACCTCTTGGAGCAATCCAGGAGGGTAGCTTTGGAGGATGTCTTCACTCCTGGATCCAGACAGGAACAGAGAAGTTTGTTTTAGGGAAGTGCTCTGATGACTAGGCACCACACCCCTGGTTCCAAAGGAAAAGGAAGGTGAAGAAGGCAACAAAACCATCTGTGCAGGCACTGGCATCCCCGATACTGACCATGTCTACCTTGGGTTGGCACCAAAGGCCTCAGTGCCAATTGTGTCAGTGCCTACTCTGTAGAAGAGAGACCCAACTCCATCCTCCAGAGCAGAAAGGCATGCCCGCAACGAGTGCAAACACAGCTTGGAGAGGCAATACGTCTGTCCTGCAGAGAGGATTCTGAACTGAGAAAGAAGCCCTCAACATTAACAAAGAATAGCACCAAGACACCAGCACCACCATCTAAAGTGAGAAAGACAGGCCCACTAATATCAATGCTGAAACCCGTGCCAGCACTAGAGCCAGAACACTTCCCAGTACCAAGATATGCCTTCAAGCCCCCCTCACTGCTCCTCTCAGCACAGATATTGGCACTATCCTACTGCCAAAACAAAAACCCCAAATTATGAAGGAGTCTTGAAATCTAATGCAGCTAGTTGGTCTAGTTACTTCACTACAAATTCACCTGAGAGCAGTGTAAATACTAGACTTTAAATTTTTCTTATGATTTTTTTTAATTAGCAATTTCACTCTATAGAACAATTCGTAGACATAATATCACTTTTGTAGGTTTAGAGAAAAAAAACCCTATGATTAACTTTTAGTTCTTCTGGCATGAATCTCATTACGTCAGTCCCAACCAAACTTTTTTTGCAGCAGACATTTAAAAAGTGTTACTATTTTTAATTACGTCTCCAGTTTAAAAAAAAATCCCTTTTCTCTATGTTGTTTAAACACCTCGTGTTCTAAAATTATGGTTGAGTAATGTCACTATTTAAAATACTTTTTCTTTTTAAAGGGGAAAAGTGTAGTTCCAAAACTGCTCTTTTTTTCTTTTCCAGACAGATCTTGACTATGTACACAGCGTTGTAGCAAGCCTGGAGAAAGAGTAAGTTGTGGGGATTATTATTATTTTTTTTTCGTAACAAAACTGTGGTGTGAGGGAAATGTTTTGTTTACTTCCTTTTTTTTCTCAGGGTTGTTTTGGTTTCAGAAAAAATAAGTGCATGAAGACAAACCAAGGGGAAATAATTAAGTAGGTTAAACTGTAAAACAGTAAATGGGATTAAGTGGATTTGGCGTGACATAAATGGATTGGGTTGGCATGACATAAATGGATTCTGTGACACCTGCATTCGTGCTATCCTTTGCAGTGGTATGCTCAAACTGAGCTATAGAAGGGAAAGCCCAGGTATTATAAAAATTGACATTATTACATTAACTAGACTATAGTGTAGAGTGGAGGAGTTCTTGTTCTGGAAGACTCACTTAGGAAAATAACTTTTATACTAGTTTTGTTTTATGTTGCTTGTTTAAAAAATTCTACTGCTGTATTATGCTGTCAACATAAATTAAGAATGTAATTTTACCAGACATAAATCCTGCATATCATAAAAGTTAGAAGATGAGCCCTCATTCTGATGTATTGTGAAGGTAACATTATGCATTTGTTCCAAATGATTACAAATATGTTTTATGTCAGACACAGTAACTGCACCAATAATAAATAAATAAATAGTCCCACTGCACTTATTTACTCGATGTTTCTGATAGATTTTCTACAGAAATCAGTTCTGGCTTGGTGGAAATAATATCCCCACCTGCGACTTACTATCCTGACTTGACAAATGTAAAAGAGACATTTGGAGACTCAAAAGAAAGAGTCAGGTAAGATTTTTCCCTCAGACCTTTCTTGTTTATGTAATGCCAGACTGAGTGTGAATTCTGGAAACATTTTTTGTATATCCTTTAAATTATGTGGAAACGAGGCCCTAATTCTGCAAAGAAAACTGAATGGGTGAATCCCTGCATCCACATGAAGCACTACCTGCATGGTTTTTTCTTAAGGATTGAAGCCTAAATGTTAAGCTTTGTGGGTTTCATTTAATGTTAAATTCTGGGAAGGTGCAGTGGGAGTTCAGAATATAACAGCATATAAGATTTTTGTTGTATAACATCATGTAGGTTGTCTGTTCTTGTTTTCTGTTTTCCTTCATGCTGTCAGGAATAAAACAGTGTATGAAACTCAACAGTATTGTTCAGTTACCATTTGAAATACCCAATATATTTTTAGAGAAAGCTCAAATAGCTGCAAGAGATCAGATTCAGTTGGGTCATTCCTCTTTTTGTGTTGCAGCATACCGGGGGGGGAGGGAGCATTGACCTGTTTTTTATTTTTTCCCCCAGACAGAGGCTTTCCTGAGAAAATAATGCCAGATATAATTGTTCTAACATTCAAATAATGTGTAATAACTTGTCATCCTTTGTAATGCAATTCACTATGTATTGTGAAATTATTTTTATTTTATAATTCCTTGACTTTTTTTTAACATTTAATTTCAGATGGCGAACAAAGCAAAACTTGGACTATTGTTTTCTTATGATGTATGCCCAGAAAAAGGGCATTTATTATATTCAGGTAAATCGCTGTTCTTTGATGTGTAAAGCTATTCAAATATACCGTGGTGATGGGCACATCACAAAAACCAAAATAGAATGATTATATATTTGTAGGGTGATTGCAATTATGGTTATTATAGTATTAGTGAATATGTATAAGTTGAATTACATACATTGTCTAAACTGGAAACCCAGTTGTCTATATGCTTAAGTGTGGCCAAAAACTGCTGATGTGGCAAAAAAAAAAACATAAAGGAACACTGACTATTTAATTTTGTTTTTTTCATATGCCAAAGAAAGGGGTAGGAGTGGAGCCTCTATGGTGCAAAGAAACAATAGAACAGTTGTTGATGGAAGTAGAGCTCTAGATGCTGCATTATTTTTAATTGGTTTGGAAGAGGTGTAGATACAGTTTTTCTGTCCTTTGGCATATAAGCTAATGTGACTATGTATTGAGACTTAAAAGATGCTTTTAAGTGTGTTGCTAGATTCACTGCTTTTAACTAAAAGTTAAGATTGTGGTAAGAATTGTAACAGTTCTGAAAAATTAAAATAAACTTTAATGTAGCCCTGAGTAGATTTCACCTTATTCCTGCTTCCAGGTAGAAGCCCCACCTTCTCCTCCTCCTCAGATACATTTAGGGCTTGAGCTGCTATTAGAAGAAACAGCAGCATGTTTTCTTCAGGCAGCATTTGCTGCCAACACTGCCCCCTACTGACATATAAAACCACCTAATCACAGTATGGAACACATATCTGTACACAGGGAGAAAAGAAGAAAATTAGTTGGGAGGTCTCAAAATGAAGGTGAATTAAAGTGAGAATTTTTAAAAAACTGACCTATCTTGGTGGTTAACTAACCATGACTCTCCCATTTTCTAAAATGTGAGGCCACTGAGTCCAGCAACGCTTTAAGACTTGGCAGGACACCTAGAAGACTGAATGTACATAGATTTAAAAAAAAAAGTATGTTATACTGTAATGAGCTGGGTGAAACCTTGTTATGGGTTGAGCTAAAACCTCATTCAAACTGGTGTGTGAACGCACCCTTTCTTTGATAGTTGTAAGATACAGTTAAGGCACCACACCTAAAACAAGGCTTATTAGATTTTGTCTAGAAACTATCACCATGTGGACAGAGGGTTCCACTGGGTATCGTGTGAGAGAACACACACAAACTGAGAACAGACAAGAACAGAAAGAGAGGCAGAGGTAAAAAGCAAGAAAGCCAAGCAGTAGCCTGTGAGCACAATGTGACTCTGGAAAAAGCTAGAGAGAGAGTTTTGGGTCTGGTGTTGGCTAAAGCTGCCTGGGGTTGTAAACTAAGAAACTTCCCCTTTTGTTCTTTGTTCCTCCTACGTTCAGACAAGCAGGATTTTGTACAATCCTTGTAAATAAACAAGATTGCATCAAGGAGATTACCAGACTCCATCAGTTTTACTTGCAACTGGAACATTGCCAGAGCCCTGAAATTTGACTAGCTGCTCGGATCAAAAAGGGGTAAAAATACCAATATTGCACTCTACATTTACTGTTTAAAAATGGCATTAGAGAATGATGATCTGATTGGCTTATAAGGAATCATGGCCATGAAGAAATTTTCAGTTAGATCCTACCACAAAAATGTAGAAATAAAGGTGTTAAAAGCTTACAAAAAAGTGTAAAGTTCCTTCAGTTTATTCAGATTCTGCACAATATACCTAGGCCCTTCAGTGTTGTCCTGTAGTATCTCTTATCAGGATGGTTGAAGGCACCTGAACTTTGGCCTTCTATCTCACAGTACACCAATGGATGCAGTTAGACAGTAATTTTAGAATTTAAGCTATTAGGAAGATTTGGTCCTGCCCTGGGGTTTGTACAGCACCTACCACAATGGGACTCTTATCCTGATTGGAGCCTTTGAATGTTACCCCAATACATATAGTAAATAAGAAGTAATGCACGTTATTTTCACACTGTGTTGAATCACTCAAACTGGTTCTTGCCAAATAATTATATTTGTGACAATAAATACATGAAGAAGAATAAAAAATCAGTGTTGAGATTCATCTTCCCCCCCCCCCCCTGTATTTATCTGTTTATTTCTCTTCCCATGTAACTTTAGTGGTCCTCACAGTTGACATGCCATTTTATATATTCAGTGTTATTGTCATGTTGGTCCCAAATATTAGCGAGAGAAGGTGAGTGAGGTAATATATTTTATTGGACCAACTTCAGTGAGACTTGAAATAAGAGCTCTATGTAAGCTTAAAAGCTAGTCTCTCTCACCAGCAGAAGTTGGTCCAATAAAAGATAATACCTCACCCACCTTGTGTCTCATGCCATTTTGTAGACTATTGTGTTGTCATCTGCTATGATGTCAGTTTTGTTACAAATAATACATGTATTCATGTGAAGTAAAGCAAACAATACAACCAATTAATCTATATCTGGAAACTCACACTTAGTCATTGTGTGCCTACAAACAACACATGCGATAGGAGGAAACATATGTATGGATACTAGTATTCAGCGCATCCACTATGGGCAACAGTTGTAAGCAGAAGAGGGCAATTTTGGGGATAGAGTCCAAAACACTCACTACTATGGAACATTTGAAATTTAAAAAAAAATTAGTTTGTTTAATCATGCCAGTATTTGCTTCAAAGCATAATTCTAAAATGGAGATCATTCTGCTTTGAATTATGTAAACATTTCTATGCTTATTTTCCATGATAATTGCTTTCTACATTTGCTGAAACAATTGCTATTGAGGGAATGGGACTATAGCTTCTGTTTTCAAGTTGTTATTTTTATTGGCCATTATAAAATGCACACATAGGAACCTACAGTTTCCCATCTAAGAAATGTGTGGGGGAAAATACCAAATAAAATATTATAGAAGTTAAAAGATGGTGCTTTCCCTTTTGGTCCAGTTCTATTATATGCCAGAAAGTAGCAACATCAAGCAAATTCACTACAGTAGTTGTGTACTAAAGTATTTAATATTGCCACAGCCTTCTGATCAAGGATGAGAGATCATTATTGATAGCTTATAATCTAACAGCAGTTAAGTATCAGAGGGGTAGCCGTGTTAGTCTGTATCCATTAAAAACAACGAGGAGTCTGGTGGCACCTTAAAGACTAATAGATTTATTTGGGCATAAGCTTTCGTGGGTAAAAAAAACACTTCTTCAGATGCATGGAGTGAAAATTACAGATGCAGGCATAAATATACTGACACATGAAGAGGAGGGAGTTACCTTACAAGTGGAGAACCAGTGCTGACAGGGCCAATTCAATCAGGGTGGACCTGATAATTTTCACTCCATGCATCTGAAGAAGTGGGTTTTTTACCCACGAAAGCTTATGCCCAAATAAATCTATTAGTCTTTAAGGTGCCACCAGACTCCTCGTTATTTTTTTTTTAACCACAGATAAGTACATGCGGAACGGAATCTTTATCTGGATATTATATGTTTGTAAAGAGAAAAGTTTTTTAAAACTATTTCCTATCCAGTTCACTCTTGTGTGTTCCCAGATAGCTGATGTATATATCCCTGGATTTTTGCTATAAAGAGTCTCCAAATTAATTATCCTCAAATAGGTGGATGGTGATCATGCTTCTACAGTAATAAATCTTGTGTATGATGCCTGGATACCAGGGTGGTGTTTGCACTAGAAATCTATGGCTAAATATATTTTAGGACTACTTTTTCCTTGCTGTACTTTTTCTTTTTGCTTTGCTCTTCCTGTCTTGTGTTAATACGAGTGTTTGTTTTCCCTAGCTTGAAGATGACATTGTTGTCAAGCAGAATTATTTCAGCACGATAAAAAATTTTGCACTTCAACTTTCTTCTGAAGATTGGATGATTCTAGAATTTTCTCAGCTGGGTTTCATTGGTAAGAAAAATGTCCACTTTAGTAGTTTGAAAAGAAAAAGTTCAACCACAGAATCTCTGATTAATAGTGCTGTGACCTCAAAACTACCTTCTTTATACTGGTAATGGAACAGGAAATAAAAATGGATTGACTTTTGTGGCTATATGCTGTAACTATACACTACAATAATTGCGGTTACCTATGGATGTTTGAGTCAGAATTAAGCAATGGAAAATGAGAACACTTTTATAACTAAAAATTAAGTTACTTTAAAAAATATGGAAAATCAAAATTTAAATATGTCTTATTTCTAATTATCTGTCGGCAAAATAAAAATGACATTAAAAGAACATTGTGTATGTGAAGCAAGGGACAAAATCAAGAAAACTCACCCAGCCCAAAGTAACTTCTATGTCTTTTGGCCATTAGAGACCTCACAAGTTTCCAAGGGTTAGCAGCCATAAAAATTAGTCTCTCTTGAAGAAAGGTTCTATTCTACCCTCCTGCTTCCACTTGGAGCAACCATGTGCCTTCCAGAGCCTGTCCCCTTTCTAGGGATGGAATCACAAATACCACCTGTCATTTACAGTGGTTAGGATAATGACAACAATGTTGAGACAGAAAATGCAGAGTCCAGAATCTTAGCAGGTTGACCACCGCTATGTCATGAAAGTAATTTTTAGTGTTCTGTGTTTCCTACACAATAATGGATTTTACTGAGAGGCACAACATTTACATAAATGCAACTGAAAGAGCTTTCAAAGGAATTTAACATTTTGAAAGTTGATACAACTAGAAACACAGTCTGGTTTGATCTAATTAACCATAATGAACTAGAACCATAGTGACAAAATTTGAAACTGATTCAAAGAAGCTATGACACCTTTCCATTAGTTAGTCAATGTTACTGATCCCAAATACAAAGATCATAAGTTGAGCCCAGAACAGGAAGAAGAGTCTGAAACGTGGCTAGTGGAATGTAACCCTGAGGTTTTTTCATTCTTTTCCAACATTTCAATTAAAGACCCAGATCTCTACCCACATATTTGTTTGCAAAGGAAGTTGTGTCTCAGTTCATTGTATTAAGGTGGTGGGAAACAGTGAATGTAAAATTAGACTCTTGATTTCAGAATTTTGTCAATATTTAAAGAATCTGCATTCCTCTGAAGTCAGCTTAGTATCAAATGTGTTTTTAATATGTTCCTCTCATGCACAGGAAGTGGGGGAGATATGACCCTTTACAGGCAGGGCCGTCTCTACCCATACGCAAAGTACGCAGCTGCGGAGGGCACCAGGAAATTTGGGGCACCACATTTCCTGGTGCCCTGCGCAACTGCGTGCTGCTCCAGTCCCTGCTCCGCCTCTTCCCCATGGCCCCCGCCCCTGCTCTGCCCCCACCCCGCCTCTTCCTGCCCCTGCTCCACCCCAGCCCCACCCCCACTCCCTGGAGGACTGCTGCAGGGGTCGGGCCTGCACTCACCATGTGGTAAGTGGAGCAATCTGGCCCCAGCCTGCTCCACTCCCCTGGCTCCCTGCCTTGTCTTGCCGCTGGTGAGTGCTGGGGGGCGGTTCCCCTCCTTCCCCCCAAGCCTGGGAGCCAGGGGAACAGAGCAGGCTGGGGCCAGAGGGCGGTTTCCCACACACACATGGAGGCCTGGGACCCCACACAGCCCCCCCCCCGGAGGGGGGGCTGCATAAGGAACCAAAATGGCTAAGGACTGCCTTGTTAATAGGGCTATATAGCAAGTAGAATGGGTGTCCACTGGGTTGAAAACATCAGCCAGCAACTTTCCCCCAAACTAAAACGGGAGGAGATGGTGATCCGTACATTTGACAATGAGGTGGTAAGCCCAAACAACAAAAGCAGTGTGGAGACAGGAACCGCCTCAAATGAGGAGAGCATTTTTCAGTTCTTAAGCTAGGCAAGAACAAATGTCTCTCTTCATCTTGAGTCACACAGTTAAGGTTACTTCCAGCTGAAATACCTCCTATTCGTTTCATGGCGCCAAAAGGGACAGGGGTGAGAAGAGGAAAAGGACCAGCCTCGAGTGGAGAGCTAAGAGTTCATTTACTTGAGTTCTTCTATCCTCCAAGCAGCTCTGTTACTCCTGCTAAGGTGTTTTCTGTACACCTTGTAACTCTCTGTGACTGCCCAAACTTTAGCTCAAGAGACTGGCCTGGAACCTAGAATGCCATGGTTCTCAATTTCTGGATTGAGCAGATAAACCTTAATTGTGAATTTAACTTGGGTTTTGGAATTTGCTTCACAATCTAACCATCCTCTTAATGTAGATTTTCGTATGAAATTCTGTGGTTTTACAAGTAATGTAAAATTAATTATAGATTTTCTTAATTAGCATAGTACATGCTGGAATGTCTTCTGGCATGCAGGAGCTTGCAGTCTGCAGTTTTGTAAGACTGAAAAGGCAAAATATTTAAAATCTACCACGTGTTGAATCTTTAGTTTACACTTGCAATTTGGGACATGCAACATATAACCCTATGAGTAGAGCCCTACGTGGATAAAAAGTGTATATCTGTATCAGATCTCAAACATGGTCCACGGATATAAAGCGGATATCCACAGATTTACAGGGACTCTAGATATAAAATGTGGCTCTGCATCCATCCACTATCCACAAACATGGTCCATGGCTATAAAACGGATATCTGCAGATTTGCAGGGCTCTACCTATGAGTAAGGCTATATTTTAGTCATGGGTATTTTTAGTAAAAGTCATGGACAGGTCACAGGCAGTAAACAAAAAGTCATGGCCCGGGACCTGTCCATGACTTTTACTATATACCCCTAACTAAAACTTGGTTGGGGGGTTGCAGGTGCTCTGTGGGGGGCGGTCCAGGGGCACCGTGGGTGCTGGGGGAGGTGGCCTGGGACCCTGCTGGCGCTGGGGGTGGGGGCGGGCAGTGGCCTGGGACCACTGCTGGTGCTGGAGGCGGGTCTGGGTGGCGGCGCACAGCCCAGGACCCCTGCTGGTGCTGAGGGGGAGGGTTAGCGGGGCTGGCAGGGACTCCCTACCCAGCGCCGCGGGTCCTTGCACCTCCTAAGCAGCAGAGGGGCCAGGGAGCTCCGCGCAGCTCCCTCCACAAGCACTGGCTGCGCAGCTCCCATTGCCCGGGAACTACAGCCAATGGGAGCTGCGGGGGCTGCCAGCACGGGCAAAGCGCGGAACCCCCCTGACTCCTCCACGTAGGAACTGCAAGGCCATTCCGGTGGGAGCCGGGGAGCCCCCCACCCCAAGGTAAGAGTCACCCCACGCCCCCCAATCAGAGGTGCTGGAACTAGGATGTGGGGGGGTGCTGCAGGACCCCCAGGTTTGAAGTGGTTTCCATTATATACAGGGTTTACAGTTTGATTCAATGGCTCTCAGCACCCCCACTATAGAAATTGTTCCAGCGCCTCTGCCCCCAACCTCATGCCCCTAGCCCTGAGCCCCCTCCCACACACCCAAACTGCTGCTGCTGGTCCAGGGGCTTCCTGGCTCGGGCAGCGTGAATTCGTGACAGAGTTTCAGCCTTACCTATGAGTTACTTTTTAAAGTATATTTACAGATCATCTGTAAAAGGGACACATTTCTCTCCTGACCCCTACTGTTGGGGAATAATAAATAAGCATTATTTATTACAAGTTGCTTATTTCCTAGAGTTTCTGGTTAAATCATGAGTAAAACTGATTGGAACTCAAAGATTAGAAGTTGAGTTATGTTTGTTGGCTTTTCTTTTTATGGATTCTGAAAATAATTACTTTAAAAACTAAATTAATTAATTGTCTCCAGCTGCTCTCCCATGTATTATATTTACTGCTTACTCCATTCTGTAACCATTTCATTCAGATGTTATTGCCAGTAGGCTTTCAGGATTTACCCATGACTTCACCACATCTTAAGTGTTTTTTATTGAGAGAGTTAAATCAGGAGTCTAATGCTCCCAATTTAACTACTTATTCTATTTTTAAGTTGAGTGAATTTAGTATACATTAAAGTGTGTGATTAATAGCATTGTCTAGAGACATGTAGAGATAGTGTAATCATCCATAGTGCAAAATTCTTCACAGTTATCATTATTCTTGATTTGCCTTATCTCTGCTATTCCATTTCTGGTTCTTTATGTGGACACATACGACAAGTTGTACAATTTTGATAACAAAAGATGTAGGGGCAGCCAAATAAATCATTATTTATGACTTGGGATGAGATTTATATCCAGATCTCCAAAGGCAAAAGTCTAGCATATTGACCTGTTATATCACTTTGTCCCTATCGATTCAACTTAGAAAAATAATAATTGAAATGTTAATAGAGATGTGGCTTTAGCCATACTCTGTTGAAAGCCTTAGCTAGCTTACAAGTTCATTTATAAAAATGGTATTTTGTTTTTGTTAAAATTTGTCTTGGATGTAAATCTTATTTATACATGCATCTAATCTGTTTTTTTAAAAGTGCGATAGAAAACAAATTGTTTATACACAGAGGTGACAAATTCATCCTTGTTGATAAGGGGTTTTGACTGACAGCCAAAAAATTGTAGAATTCTACCGTCCATACACCATAACAGAAGTTGCATTCTTTGTATGCTGTGCTGAATATGTAGTCTTTAAGTGTTGTCACTTAAACTAAATAAATTATAAAGGGTGGAATTCTGTGCTTCACCTCTAAGAGGCACAGCACAGAGTCATCAGTTTTGAGGTAGGGGATGCCCTCCCAATTCTGGGCTACTGGGTAGTCCATGGTATATCATAGGCAGCTCTAGGGACCTGTCTAAATTATGGCGGCCTGTCTCCAGCTGCCTGTGACCTGCAGCGGGTGCTCAGAATCTCTGCCATGCAAAGTGCTGCAGCCCTGTCCTGGACATCCCCTATGCCAGGGCTTGCAAGGGAGTCCTCTGAAGGCAGCCTTACAACTGCATTCCATAGTTCTATGCTGGGAGAATCCTCCCATGGCTGGATGTAGAGGTTTTTAGAACCCCTAATATGAAGGGGCCGTGGAGCAGGGGCGAGAAGCTCACTCAAGTCTTTAAATTTTTTCCAATTAAAATATTGAGAACAAAAAGTGAGCTTTGGATGAGTTTGGACTCTAATAACACCAGCTGCCAGACAGATTTGGTCAATGGATCCATTTTAATATTAGCCAAATAACTTCAATAATTTGCAGAATATAAGCATAAAAATAGTTTAAAAGTTTCTGGAGATATAAAATTAGTTTTGGAAACATTCTGATCTGTGGCTGTAATTAACTCTGTTTAACTCGACGCTTTTACTAAAGATTTTAAATGAATGATTTAAATATCTGTAATTCAGAGAAGAATGAAAACAAAGTTTTTCCTCTTGAATTGTATCTTTTACATTAATACTGACCCAACAAAATACTATGCAGTCAGAATAGTGTAATTTACAATAGAGTTAAAATATACTGAGACTCTAATGGACTAATGAACTAGTAGAAGGTCATAATAGGTAATAGTAAATTTTCCACTGTATACCTTTTTTGAATCCCACTCTCTCATTTGCCCTCTTCTCTATATAAACACAAAATTAATATTTTTAATATGGAGAAATAATCTTCAATGTTGTATTGCTAATTGTTTACAGAAATCTGGTCCTATTTTAAGTTTGACTTTAGAATATAAAAGTTCTCTGTTCTTGGAATTGTTGAAAAATTCCGTATTTATATTGATTTATGTTTTATTATGCAAGTTGAGTATTTTAATGATGTTGGGAGTTGTAATATTGTAAAGAGCTGTCTTGTGAAATTTTCCTGTTTATACAGTTTTGCTCTACTTGTTGAAATTTGTGATATTAGCTGGGATTTCCAATTGTGAGATGGTAATACAACTTGCCTTAGCACAAACAATATGGTCTCTAGGCTTGTGATCTCAAGAGTGGTTTCAGAATAACTATTATTAATTTAGAATAATATCTTTACAGGTAAAATGTTCCAATCTCCAGATATCACTCTTATTGTCGAGTTCATATTTATGTTTTATAAGGAGAAACCTATTGATTGGCTCTTAGATCATATACTCTGGGTGAAAGTCTGCAACCCTGAAAAAGATGCAGTAAGTTCAGTTTTTATTATGTAGCTTTTAATGTCGCTTCTTGATAAAAAAGCTTTATTTTCTGTGAATCTAAGTAGTAGTATGTGATGTGCTGATTCTTTTCCTGGTTCCTTCATATCCCAATACAAATCTCAGTCTATGGTTAGATCTGAATCTGAGAGAGTGTTTTGGAGACCTCAGAGATCAAAAAAATGGCTTTCTTAGATTTCTTAATGTTTCAGATTTGGGAGGCTTAGAAATGCATTTTTGGGGGAAAACAGAGGTCAGCATTTTTTGTGCCTAGAAGTCCTAAGATAACTAGCAGTTGCACTAGCTATATTTAACATTCTGCAGCAAAATTATTTGAGTCCACTTTAATTTTTGAAAATAATTATAAAGGTTCATCCCAGTAGCTTAATGGTAGTGCTCAATACTTCAGAGAAGGAGTCCTTCATTGAATATACAGTCTCGGAGTAAATTCCTGGTCCTTTTGAAGTCAATGAAAGTTTTTCCATTGACTTCAGTAGGCCAGGATTTCACCCAGGGTTTCTTCATCTTCAGACTACCACATCCCTGTGGAGGTAGTTCTTGTAGCCCTATAGGGAGTGTCTTATGTAGCCACACAGAAAGCTCTCTGTCCAGTGAAGAAGCAGTATTGACTAGTTCCATTAAAAATCTCTTCCAAGTCTCATTAACCAAAAGAATGATGACTACAATATGGGGTACAAAAGCTTTATCTCTGGGGGTGCTATTCTGCTTGTGTGTTTGCCTGCAGAGTGTTTCCATGTTAACTTTACACACTGCTTTTTTTGGCTGAGGTTTTTGTGTATGAAAACTCTAGGGGTAAAATTCACACATCAGTAAAGGGGCCAAGTGTAGCTGAACCACTTCAGTTCTGCTGCATGGGCAGGGCAGCAGTTGAGAGATTATATAAAAGGGTCTATGTGCATGGCACAGTTGGCACGTAGACCAGTATAGATGGAGAATATGGGGCATGTGAGCAGATTGCTCTGAACAGAATACTTGTAGTCAGAGTATAGTCCAGATTTATACCATACTTGAGAATTGGATTTACTGGTACTAGAAACAAGAATTAAACAACATAAATCTCAACCTGAGTTTTCTGCCCAAGTTTGATGTTTCTAAGGTTTCCTGCAGATGCCATTAATTCGACCTTCCTTATATTCCTGTAGCGTTAACAAGCCCCACTTGCAACAATGAGTGAGCAGAATTTACTCAGCAGCTTTATGCCAGGTCCAATACCAGCTAGATAGGGTGGATCAACAGGAGAGCCCCATTAGTATTGTCACAGGGTGGAAAGGGGAGAGAGGAGAGCATTTTGTCTGAGACTATACAGACATACTGGTCACATATCATCATATGGAGGCTGTACAGAAATTACCTGTTTGACTGGAGAAGTAGTTGTGGTAGGGTTACAGGCTGCCCTGCACCCACCTACTGATTGGTAGATAATTTCTCATGTAGTTCCTCTGTACAGAGCCCATTTACTCAGGCTTTTTGCAGGAGGAGGAGAGGAGTAAATTTTAACCAGAATGAATAGCCCAATGGTGCTCTTAGGCAATGAAAGAAGATAGCAGCAGGAATGAAGTATATAGTTCCGGTTTCTTGTAATTTGTTTTGGTTCAGGAATCATAGATTATCATACAATTTCAATAAAAACTCACTGATCTTTCTTTATTATCTTTGCTAATGTAAGGTTTTCTTGATTTTATTTTAAGAAACATTGTGACAGACAGAAATCTAATCTACGAATACGCTTCAGGCCTTCCCTTTTCCAACATGTTGGACTGCACTCCTCCCTAGCAGGAAAGATCCAGAAACTCACGGTTAGTAGCGAAAACTTCCCCGCCCTTCCAGATCAGACAGGATTGATAAGTGATTTTTCATCAGATGAGAAAATTAACTTTTTGCTATAGTTTAGCATTTTTAAGTATAATATATTATACTCTAGTTGGAATTAAGCCTGATTAAAGCTTGCTACCATAGAATAGGAGAATGTTCAGCTCAACTCCTATATTTTTATACAACTTCTGTATATAGTCTCTCATTTTAAATCTCTAACCTTTTATCTGTAATACTGTGACCTTTTAAGTAATCAATACAGGGTTTGAGATGTACAATGGAGAAAATGGATAATACATTAGTTGCCCTTTGTTTTCCATTTGCTTTTAAGTACTAGCAAAATTAGCCACTAAAGAAAAGAGACTGCCTGACCAGCCTGATAGCATGTTTGTCTTTCTTTCAATTAGGATAAAGACTTCCTGAAACCATTATTACATAAAATTCATGTGAATCCACCCGCGGAAGTTTCTACATCTTTAAAAGTCTACCAAGGACATACACTGGAAAAAACCTATATGGGAGAGGATTTTTTCTGGGCTGTTACACCCATTGCGGGGGATTATATCCTATTTAAATTTGACAAACCAGTCAACGTAGAAAGGTTAGTAATCACTTGTCTTTTGGTCTCACAGCTAAAGATGCTTGCTGAGCAAGTATGCTTGTGGATAGAATTGAGGAAATAATAAATTAAACATAATGAAAAAGTAATTTCGTACAAGGTATCAAATGAAATGGATACTTTGCGGTTCAGTTTAAAATGTGCTTCAATCAACTTTGTTCGTTGTAGTTGACTCTGTATTTTATTTAGAGTATTTTGCTACAAAATCTATTTTTGTAACCTTCTCCAGAAGTATAACACCACAGCCAGTACCCTGCCAGCAGTTAAAAAAGACTGCCAAATTGAGTCTGTTCCAGTCGGTTGAAGGTGACTTTTTTCAAGCCCTTTATCTTACTCAAACTTGATGTGTGTGGGTTTTTTATCTGCATCTGTGCTTGAATTTATGATTTGCTACAGTCACACAGAGGAGTGAAAGTGACCTCTTCTATTTATTAACCTTTAGGCCAGCTAAGGCAAGGAAATACTACTTTTGCTTTTATTTTTTAACAGAGTAATTTTAATTTTGTTAAGTTGCCACTGTCCTCTCTTTTAGTTATGTTGGAGTCTCTTTTGTTTGCTTATTTTCTTTTCCCCTTGTACACTAGCCCACGACTTCAGAAATAAATTTTTTGTTTAGGATATCTTTATATTCCCCTTATATTCTCCTTTCATGCACATTGTGCCTTTCTGCTGCCCCACTTCTGCAGACCCAGAGCCTTGCAGTGGTAACTACTACTATTGGAGTAATCTCACTAGATATTTTCCTTGTGGAGGATATCTCAGGCTGTCAAGCTGCTCTTTCTGCCTTCTTGAAGTGAACCCAGTTGGTCAACTTCTTCCATGGATTTGCAGCAAGCTGAAGACTGAGTCATCACCTTAACTGATCTTGAAGATCTCAGATTCACTGAGTTTAGTATTTTCCCCACATTGTAATTTTTGCTCCAATGATTCTGACCAGTGAAATGCAGATCACTTGAGAGGTGAAAGAATTAAAAATTACTGTACTCTTCAGTTGCTTATAAAAGTCTTTTCTTCCAGTGTAGTTGTTAGGCCTGCATGGAATATACCTTAAAGGGGGTACATACACCCCACCTTATCATATAAAAGTCAATACCTTTTATCCGTGGCAATAATATGAAATAGACACCTTTCAGCTGGAGAGTGTACATTCAGTGGTAGGTTTCACTGCTCTACAGCCAAAATGCTTCTGAAATAAATGTAGTCAAAC